TAATAAATGAATTCCTACTTATTCACACATTCACACATAAATCATTACAAATAATTTAATTATTAATTAATTTTTCATACAAAGACAAATCCATTAAAATCATTAAATAAACTTTTTATAGTTTGATTGTGGTACAATCTGAGCTTGTCAAATGGCCTCAATCGAAAACAGCACTAAATACGATATAATAAGTATAAATAATCCTTATTTAACACACTTAATAAAATTATTATAAGTCTGATAATTATTAAATAAACTTCAAAATAGTTTTAATATTTTATTATATAATGTGAAAATAAATGACCGCCCAATTGAGGCAAGATTTAATAAAAATTTGATAATATTATTTACGAGAAATTGTAATGAAAGTATTATCATAGTAAATAAAATTACCACTTCTCTTGATCATTATATTCTTTAAATGGTAGTAGCTTCTGTTGGTAAAATTTTTATCGCACGCGTAACAATGCCAATTGGCTGATCATTAGCGAATAAATTTATAGAAAATATAGAATCATGTTTTCAAAACCAGAAAGCAGTGCGTATGCTGAAGTGTTACTTAGTGTAGCATCATTCAGAATTGAGTATAATCTATAGTAAATGAATAATTTGTTATTATATCATTTAAACTTTTCATGACATTATAATGACGTGTTAATTATATTTATTTTTTAGAGTTGGCGTTATTTATTATAATATATAATTTTTGCCGAATTATGACGTAAAATTTAGAAAATTCAGTGTACAAACTTGCTTGAATTGTTTCAAAAAAAAAAGTCAGTTAATTATTACATTACATAAAAAAATAAGTGTTATGGTTAAAACACATGATTTTGATGAAATTAGCCATTCCACTGATGAAAATTCTATAAGGATTTTTAAACTAATCAAAACCCTGCACCTGTATCTACTAAGTATAAAAGCTAAATATTTATTGATAATGAAAAATGGTTATTAAATATAAAATAAAAAGTTGATTTCATAATTTCTATTTATAGTGAACTTTGGTCTCAGAACACTTATGGATATTAATGGGAAAATGAAGCATTGACAATAATATTTAATTCATGATAATTCTGATTTGTTCGCTTTACAATGCACTGCTTAAATTCTAAACCTTGATACTACAGTCCAAAAGTAAAATAATTATTGCTGCTGCTGTCTCAAAAAAAAAAAAATTTTTAAAGGCAAATGTTCATTATTTTGGGAAGTATAGCACAAAAATAAACAGCCATCGGATTAGATTGATTAGTCAAAATTTTAACTTTTTTAACTACTGTGATAAATAATTTTATAACTAGTTGTACATGAAATAACACAAATTTATAAATTGTTTAAAATACTTTGAAATAAGGTCGGTCATGATAATCACAATTTTATTGATTTATCTATGATACTAAATTTGGCTTATGTTTATGCGAAAAGTTACATAAAAACAAGATGATCATGTGAATATTTTTTTGTTACAATCATAGAAAAAAATACACAGAAATATGAAATGATTTATAAAACACTGGCTAAATAGTAATTACAGTTGAAGTTTCATGTTTTTTTTTCAAAAAAAAGAAAGATGTCAAAAGTTTGCCAAGATAAAAGATTTAAATTACTATATTAACTGGTTAATTGGAAAGATATCAATTGCAGATGAAAACATTAAATTATATGAATATTTAGACTTCATAAATATTCAACCGATAGGAAGTGCCGAATTGGTTTGTACGGAATTGTTTATTGTGTTAAATGGCTTTGAAATCTTTTATTAATAATAACGATAAACAAACTATTGGAAAAGTTATAAAAGAGGTACGTGTATTATTTAATAGTTGCTATCTGAAAAGTAAATTAAAATGCTTTTAGCTGAAGCGTTGATTATAACAGTAGAATTCGGTAAGTATTGAACAAATGTTGTATATTACATTATAAAAGCTTCTCAGTACTTATTACTAAAATTGTTTTTTATTTAGACGCAATCCAAAAGTACTCTTTTGTAATGGAATACGCCGATAGCGGTACATTAAATACGTATTTAAACGAGCATTTTAGCGAGCTTAATTGGGTGACAAATATCACTTATCATCACAACTGAGAATATTTACATGGAGAAAATATCATTCATCGTGATTTGGTAATATGAAATTTCTTATTCTATTCTAATTTATCATAGTTAATTATATAATAAGATTAATATAATTTTCTTATTTAATTCAGTATAACCGAAGCATGTAAGCAATATACCTATACATTCAGAAAAGTATTAAATTAGCAGGCTTTGGTTTATCAAAAAAAATTATTTATGAAACGTTGTCAAGTGACACATCAAAAATACTTGTGCAATCATACCCTATACCGTTATACGGATCCAATGAAATTTAACAATCAAAATTATAAATTAAATAAAAAATCTGATGTCTATAATAGCATTGTAGTTTTATTATGGCAAATTTCGCGTGAATATATAAAGCCTTATCGTAAAGTTAGTGATGATGCAAATTTAATTTTATCTATATTTAACTGTAAAAGAGAAGAAATTATTGACGAAACACCTGTTACAGAAGTAATATTTAATTTTTATATTGTATATATATAGAAATATTGAATTTATTTTTAGAATATTGGAGAAACGAACCAAATAAACGTCCAAATATATTACAAGGAATTGTTTCAATTTTTAAATCAATAGTCTCTCTTGCGGAGATTGATACGATCATTGATCATACTAATGAAAAAAGAAACCCATTCAATGGAATTAAGCAAAGCAACTATAGATTTAAATCATGAATTAATGTACTAAATATTATAAAATATAATATATTATCTAATTCAAATAAAAAATCTGAGGTTAAATTAATAAAACAATAATATTAAATAATGAATCAAACATTATAACAGAATATATTACAGATTACTTTACTATTATAATATTGATGTAGTTGAAAAAGAATATGGATATTTAAGTGTTCAAAAGAGTTTAGGTTTTTTTAATTTAAAAAAAAAATGATTACTATAAATAGCATCAAATCAAACTAATTGCATGCACTCAAATAATATTTAAACCTTTTTATTTAATTATTTTTATATACATTAGGTTTGGACTTTCTAAACTAATATATATATATATACATTTATATATATATATATTCATCACTCCTTTTTGTCTCCCGTTATTCCTTTTTGTCTCCCATCATTCCTTTTCGTCTCCCATCACTCCTCTTTATTTTCCCGTCACTCCTTTTCGTCTCCCATCACTCCTCTTCATTTACCCATCACTACTTTTCGTCTCCCATCACTCCTCTTCATTTTCTTATCACTCCTTTTCGTATCCCATCACTCCTCTTCATCTTCTCATCACTCCTTTTCGTCTCCTGTTACTCCTTTTTGTCTTCCCATCACTTCTTTTTGTCTTCCTATCACTTCTTTTCGTCTTCCATCACTCCATTTCGTCTCCCATCACTCCATTTTGTCTCCCATCACTCCTTTTTGTATCCCATCACTCCTCTTCATTTTCACATCCCTCCTTTTCGTCTCCCATCACTCCTCTTCGTCTTCTCCCACTCTTCTTCATCTTCTCATCACTCTTTTTCGTCTCCTGTTACTCCTTTTCGTCTTCCCATCACTCCATTTCGTCTCCCTCCCTCCTTTTTGTATCCTATCACTCCTCTTCATCTTCCCATCACTCCTCATCATCTTCTCATACTCTTTTTCGCCTCCCATCACTCCTCTTTATTACCATCATATCCTATTTCTCCTTTTTGTTTACTATCACTTTTCACTACTCTTTTTACTCCCTTTCATCTTTTATTACTTTCCATTACTCCATTGTTATTTCATTTTTTTATTAGCATCTTTCTCCTTATCATTGTAATTTACTTATCTTTATTGTTATTGTTTCTTTTATTTGTATCATTTCATTACAAATACAGTGGTTTTTTTTCTTTAAAATTGTAAATGTGTGACTTAAATTTTAATATTTAGAATAAATGTTTGCAAAAAAAATTTTTTTAAAATATCTTTTGCGATAAAATTTTAAGTTTAGCCGATCAAAAATTAGCTAAGTTAAAAAAATCCGATTAATAAATTTACTCTATATATCGTACATCATGTGACATATTTGCAATCGCCCAGGCGATGTTTCAATTCCCCTAAATTTTTACTATTTTACTATTTTAACTTATAATAAACCGAAATCTGCTATTTCTCTATACTTTATTTACTCATTATTAATAAAAACAACATTTGTTTATAGAAAAAGATAGATTAAAAAAATTTATTTATTTTAACTATAAAAGAGAGATCAACAATTTGCATATTTATAAATTGGTCATTTTTTTTTTTACAATAACTTTCACTTAAAAGATCTTTCAAAGTATGTCAAGCTCCCCCATGAAAATGACCTCTTGTTTATAATAAAGCGTCACTGATCTAAATTTTATCTGGAAATGTGCTCATGGTCGTACAACATGCTTCTATTGCTTCGTGTGGTGATATTTTAGATATTTGCGTTTCTCCTGTTCGGGAGAATAAAAAGAAAGTAAAGAAGCTATACATTTTTTGTATAAAGTAAGTAATTAAATTAATTAATCTCGTTTGACTCCAAAACCTTCTGGTATGCAGCTCCATTAATTAAACAAATATAAGTTACGTCAAGCACAATAGATACCGGAAACATTAGGAATGAAATTCCTGTTTCATAGAACAATTACCAACCAAAAACAAAAATATTGCTTTTGATGATGATCAATGTTTCAGGTAGCGCAAGAACTAAAATAAAATTAGTCAGGTCTGTTTCGTAATTGGTCATGATAATCTATATCGAGTTAGTATTTTCTTTTTGTTTACAAATTTGTTACTATTTAGGTAACAGTAACCAAATATTTAATTAACGCCAAAAAATGTGATGTACGTTTTTCTATTCTTTTTCTTTTTCTTTCATTAATAAATTATTGTTTTCGATAATCGATCATTTAATTTGCTAAGTTGATTAAAGTAGCAAATTAACGAACATGTATGAAATCAAAATTACTTTCCATGTTCATTTGCCAGAAGGTGTTGAGAAAATTGGTCAACCCGTAGTTCTTGGAAATAGGAAGGAATTAGGTTCATTAGAAACCCCTATTGTAAAGCTTCGTCAACAAAATCTAACTTATTGGAAATCTGATCCGATTTCTATTCTCTTTCATGATACTGATACTCATATTGAACTTATTAAATATAAATATGCTATTCACATAGTACCTAAGTCTATGTTTTCTAGGGGAAATGAAAAAATTATATTCGAAGGATTCGAAGAAAGTTTTCAAGATTGGCGTACGTTGGATACTGAAAGAAATAATCAATTTGATATATGGAAGAATAATAATCAATATAGCTTATTCGCTATACGTGATTTTGCTTTTGTAGATTATATTTATAATTCTATCAAGGGTAGTAATCTAAAAGATAACGTTATGGAATATCAACATTTATTATCCCTTCACAATTATCATACGATCAACGCTTCAAATTTTGACTTCATTTGCAGTCATATTGATGATAAACTCAAAGAAAAACGGCTTTTCTTGTGTCTTATCTTAGGATATTATATTTCAAGGGAGAAAGGCACGTTTCATGAACTGCCGGTTAATTTCCAATCTAAATTATTACTTAACGCTCTCGTAGGCTATAATCAAGAAACTTTACCTTCAAATACTAAAGAACTAATGTATACTGCCATTATAGCTCTAATCCGGCATAATGCTTTTCAGATGCAATTTGATTGGCCAGTTATTTTTACAATTTCGGATGAAATTGATCCTATTTATGCTTTCATTGATCAATTAAAAGCCTTAAAATATTCTAACGAAAATTTAGCAAAATTTATTCAAATAATCGGACCTTATATTGAAGATATTGAACCTCAAGTTTATATTAAAGCCACAAAGGTAATTTGATTATCGACTATATAAGTTTTTTTTTTTTTTTAAAAAAAAAAAAAAAAAAAAAAAATTTAATTATTATTTATTAATTTTTTAGTGGTTAATTCAATTATGTCATAATACGGACTCCCTTTTTAAACTGTGGAGTGATGTTCTTTTACGCAATAACAAACTGGACAAATCTATTTTTAAGTGTTTTATCGAACAAGTTCGAAAGAATTTCTCTCATGATGATGATGATGCTGTTACTTTGGAATCCCAGTTTATAAAGCTTCCGATAGACTATCGATATGATTTGTCTGAAATTTTTCAGTCTCGTACTTTATTTTTACTTGAGAATTCGAGCAAGGGATGGACAAACGAAAATATTTCTGCTATTAAAAGACTTCTTCTTAGTATAAATTGGTGTGGGGAAGAATTTATTAAATCACTAGAATTAATATCTGAATCTCACATCTTGGAATTATTATATATATTTCCAGAACTTTTAGATAATTGGTTTCGTAGTGATTTTTCTGATAAAGAGAAAAAGTTACCAAACTTATGTACAACTTGGATTAAAAATCTTTCGTCCAAACTTTATACAAATACGGTTAATGGAAGTTCATTAAACGACAGCAAATTTATTTTTTTAGTATTTCAACAATTAGAACGTATTTATCCTTTACTTGGTTACAGGATTAATATTTGGCAAAGTTTAACAGATACCGCTATAAATATAGTAAAGGAATGTTCAGAAATTCATATCTTCGCTGCAACAATATTAATTGTAACGTTAGATCAAGATGATGTTAAAATATTATTTTCAAACTTGGTAAAAGAAATATTAAACAAAACCGTTCAACAAGCTAATGATGAGTTATTACACAATATATTTGTAATTTGCTTTCACAAAGGCGAGATTTTAGAGGTTCCAAACTCGTAAGTAAAAATAATTTTTTCTTTCAAAAGAAGTACTCCTTAATTTAAAAATAGAAACTGATTCATTATAAATTTTTTTAGGATGAGCGAAGATATCTTGTATCATATCATGACTATATTACAAGATCAATCATCCGCATTTACTTCCTCACAACATCATTTAAATATTTTAAAAGCTAGTAAATTTTGGAACGTTGTATTATGTGCTGGTGGGAGCGTTGCAAAACTTAATTCACATCCATTTATTAAATATATTAAAGAGTCTATTAACGAAATTGGCTTATTATTCGCTGAAAAAATGATTGATATGCAGTTATTGCAACAACTTTTAGAATATTCTGACAAAAAACTATTTAAACATTTTTATTCGACTTCCAAAAAAGATTTTTTAGGTGGTATAATTGTCACTCGAGATGAAATCGCGAAAATCAGAAAGCTTTATGATAATTATCGATTTCAGAATACCATACTTCTTACCTTTTATACCGAATTTTGTCCAGTTGCTCAAGTAACGGATGTAAATGATTATATTAAAGATGTAAAACAGCATACGACAAATTTAGATAAAATAGAAATGAAACAGGTGTTAGCACCAGATTATTTGGCGTTTCATGAGAAAACTTTGGAGTGTGCAAAGCGTTGCTACAAGTTTCGCCAATCTCAAATTTTTCGAAATATCTTCGAAGCTTGCATTAAGGAAGATGCTGCAGCAACAAAAGTAGAATACATAGCACAAAAATTAATTCATATTGTTTTCGATAAGTATAATGCTCTTTGTAAACAACTTGAAGAATGGGGAAAACTTAAATGTTCAGATGCATATTTACTTTGGAGAAACGTTGCGGATGTTAATTCAGAGCTTGATTTAATGGAAGACTGTGAGATAAGCGAAAGATTACTAAAAACTCTTGCCGATTTCTCAAAATGGATCGAACGACTTGAGAAGCTAGAAAAAGTCGTGGAAATTTTTGGAGTACAACGCAACGATGATGATTGGTTATCTAAATCAATCCGTAATTTAAAAGATGATTCAATGGAACTTGAAAAAACAAAAAATCTTTTCGATTATCTTGATAAAAATTTCATTAAGGTTAATCAAGATTGTTGGGAATTAATAAAGGAGCTATCAAATGCTGATGACTTTATAGGCTTTCTAAAGAAAATCAGCAAACGTGATATTAAAATTTTGTTTAATGATGTGAACGATCACTCGGATGAAAAATTGACTCAACTCTCATTACTTGTTCAAGTGAACCAATTTTTATTTCCTATATTGAATAAGAATAAAGAAACTATTAGCGATTTTTTGAAAGAGTTACTTCATATTGTTGAGAAGGACCATACTTTAGGAGAAAAGATTTCATTATGTAATAGTTACAATTCAATATTTCAAAATATATACAATAAAATTCAAAATGGCGACGAAGATACTAAAGAGGAAATTAAGAATGCTGTACTTAATGGAACTTACACTTTTGCACGTGATGTAAAAGGCAAATGCATAGTTTCTTTAGAATATTCCTCTAAATCTGACGTGAAATATAATTTAAATGAAATTTTAAATTTACGTAGACGAGCTTTTTTGATTGACGAGTCAATTATTAGTAAAATAATAATTGACAAAGAGGAAGTGTCAAAGAATGTTTTGGATGAATTTATTCATCAGGTTGATGTCGTACAAGAAATAATTAATACAGCTTCCATGTTAATGCAAATTGGTCATCTTGGTTATAGAAAATTTGAAAAGAAATTACAAGGAACAAATAACATGGAAGAATATCGTAAATTTTTAAAAGATGAGCTCGAAAAATGGTGAATGTTTTATATTGAATTACAGTTGTTTTTTATTCTTTATTTTAGCATTGCAAGGAAATTAATGAGTTTTACTTTCGCAAATTTATAGGCAAGTAATATTGGATCAGTCGCATAAAAGATGTTATTATTTAACATTCTTTTTTTCCCACCATATCTTGTCATTTTATGATTATTTTACATCGGAAAATTTAGATAATGAAAATGAAGAGGAATGTAAAGTGTTGATTAGTTTTGTTAACAGTAAAGCTCAATTACCACCTCATGGAGATGTTCAAGGAATTTTAAATGGATTTAAAGATCATTATGAAATTCTTTGTGAAATTGGAAACGAATTAGAAAAAATTTTTAGAAATACTCCAATACAGTTACTTAAAATTAAAGATGCTGGACAACGTGAAATCATTACAAAAGGCAAATTATTTGTTGCTACTTATACTGATAAGATACAAGTTCCAAACACTATTATGTCATTATATGCTAGTTATGGATATTATCCCGAACCATGGCAAATTTTGATATCTACATCATCAACTACAATGGAGGAACTTATAATTTTCGTTAAAAGGAGTTTTTATGCATCAAGTAATGGATATAAAAATAGCTTGTTCTGTATCGTAAATTTAGAAATATTAGACTTTGAATTTCAATATAATCTTGTAAACTACATCAAAGTAATGCAATTGGAATATAAGAATGAAGATTATCTATTAGCCCTTCTATGTTATCGAAAATCTGAAATGTCCAATTATATTTTAGATCAATTTTCTTTAGAAGCTCAAGAAATTAACGAATTAGATGCTGAAACATTGAAGGAAGTTTATCAGGAATTATTTACAAATATAACATGTATTTCTTCTGATTTATCCGGTCAAGGAAAAACTGAGTGGATTAAAGATGTTAGCTATTCTAAACAAAAAATTCCACTTAGTTTCTTAATAAGCGATAATATGAATCTTAAATGTCTTGTAAACAAGCTTAAAGCTTGTAAACTTAAGCAAATACAAAGCTTACATATCAATATTTTATCGGCTGATTATCCCGAAGAAGTGAATTTATTTTTATTTGAATTGTTGACTTTTAAATTAGTTTCATATAATAATGTAATAGTTTCAATTCCTGATACTTTTATTTTTATCGAGATATCATCTTCAGCAAATCAAAATTTACTTAGATATCTTCCTATATTAAGATTTTCTCATCATAAATATTTAAATTGGAACATTGAAAACTTTAGAGTGTCTCAAGAAATAACGAGTCCAATCCAAATAGTTTGTCATTATTTGAAATTATACGATCTTGAAAAAATTGATACAGAGGAAAATTTAGGTCATGATATTAAATATCCTTTACCGGAGGAATTTTGTCAACATCTCATTATGAAATATTTTTTGAATAAAAGCGACAAATATATATTATCGTTTAAATGTATTGAAATCTTTGTAAATATTCTAGCGGATCAACTAATTAGATTTTTATCAAGTCAATATTTTACAATAAATGATTTAAAATTAAATTTGAAAGAAGCTAATATCGGATCAACAATAATCAAATCATTATTAAGTACTTCAAAAGATTTCGTAATTCAATCTATTAAAGCAAAATCAGCACAATTTAAATCTTTAACTTCTGAATATGAGAATAAGATTTACCAATTTGATAATTCAAATTATAATATTTACTTTTTTAATCCTAATACTTTAAGCTCCTATATTTTATATAATGATAAGAATGAAGTATCCGATAACATCAAATTATTGTTAAATGGTCAGGAATTAGAAGATTATAATACGATGACTACAACTGAACTTCTTATAAAATTGGAAACAATAGCACGTAGATCAAATGAAGAATTGAATCTTCCAGAGTATGCTTTAACTACTGATAATCTGATGAAGATGGCCTTAATTCTTTTAAGAGTACGCGCAAATATTCCAGTTGTAATTTGTGGTGAAGCGGGATGTAGCAAGGTAAGTTTTAATTATTTAAAACGTTTTACAATTTTGATATTACTTATTAATTAATTTTCATTGCATTATTTAGACAAGTTTGATTACATATTTAGCCATGATTGTTGAAGTTCAACTATGTACTCTTAATCTTCATGCCGGAATTGATGAAGAAACTATCATGATATTTATAAATGATACTTTGAAAAAAGCAGAAAAAGGCGAAACATGGATATTATTGGATGAAATAAATACATGTAATCGTTTAGGATTACTTGCAGATTTAATATCAAATAAAAAATTTAAGGATAAGCCTATACATCCAAATATTCGGTTATTCGCTACTTGTAATCCATACCGTCATTGTAAAAGAATTCAAAGTGAGGCAAGACATGTTATTGAAAACAAAATTAATCTTGTTTATCAAGTCAAACCACTTCCTGATCAAATTTTGGATTATGTTTGGGATTTTGGTATCATAAAACCAAATGATGAGTACAAATATATTCAAATTATGGTTGAAAAAGAATTAAAAAATAATTTAGCACATCCCGTATTTTCTGAACTCTTATTTACTTCTCAAAAATTCGTACGAAAAGTAGAGGAATCATATAGTGTTAGTCTACGTGATATAAAACGGGCTATAACGTTGGCGAAATTCTTTTATAATTCTCTTGAGAATCGACCGGCTTATAAAAAGGGACATATATACCCACCATCTGGTAATTCAACAATAAAGACTAGATCTTATATTCTAGCACTTAATCTTTGTTATCATTCTCGGTTATATAAACAAGCGTTACGTAAGCAATATCGTTGTGAAATGGAACAAATATTACGAGATCACAAAATTAATACTGGAGAAAACATGTTTTCCAAAATTATTCGTGAAGAACAGGATGATTATATAAATAGAATGCAATGTCCTCCGAATACGGCCAAAAATGAAGCTTTATTAGAAAATGTTTTGGCTACTATTGTTTGTATTTTGACTAAAATTCCTGTATTTATTATTGGAGAAACGGGGTATGTTAATTATAATTATTAATTTATATTATTTATAATCTTCTTAATATAATTACTTAATATTTTTAATTTATTTTATAACAGCTCATCTAAATCTTTAGCTATTCGTCTTATAAATTCAAATTTACGTGGATCAGATTCCGAGGATGAATATTTTAAAACTTTACCACGGGTATTGTATATTATATATGATACATATATGAATTACGTCCATTTTGTTAATTACGTTATATTATAAATAGGTTTATTTATTTTCCCATCAAGTTTCTTTGTCTACAACTTCAGATGATATAATCAAAGTGTTTAATAAAGCTAATGAATATCAGGAAATAAATTCTAAACAATTTCCAGTTATTAGCGTGGTTTTGCTTGAGAATGGTAAATATTATTACAATATACGTACTTTTTTTTATGTTTTTAATACAAATTATTTTTACTGCTGTTTTGATAGTTGAGTTGGTCGAAACAAGTCCCTTCGATCCTTTGAAAATGCTTCACACTTTGCTTGAACCAAATTATCCAGCCATTTGGCCAACTGTTTCAGTGGTGGGAATATCTAATAATCACCTCAACATTAGTAAAAGTGGTCGTGCATTACTTGTTCAAAGGTATGTTATTTTTTTAAAAAATGAATTGTTGAATCTTATGTAATATATTTTATCTATTACTGATAATTTTATTTTCCTTAGACCACAGTTTGATATGGATAATTTAGTTAGTGTCACCAAATTTTTCCTTGCAAGAAATATTGAATTAGAATCCATATTAGAATCTATAGCTAAAGCATATTTGAATTATGAGAAACACGGTCAAACCCTACCAAATTTTCATGGTCTTCGTGACTATTACGCCTTAATCAAGCAGCTTTCATTAAATGAAGTGACTCCAGATAATATTCAAATGGCATTAGCTCGTAATTTTGGGGGAATGGAGAGCAGTGATAAATTATGCGAAAATTATTTTGGGGATTTTATTAAAACTAACAATAATGATAATCCATGGTCCTGCAAACAAATCTCAATCGAAAAATTAATTGACTCAAACTTAGATGATTCTGATGCGCGTCATTTAATGGTTATTGGAAAAAGCGATTCAATTGTAAATTTATTAACTTACCATTTAAAAAGAAGAAATTTGGATCCAGTTGTAATTTTAGGATCACAATTTCCTAATGATCAGGATGATTATTATTATAGTGTTTTAAACAAGATCACGGTAAGTAATTAATTTCATATATGAAACGAACTTTATTTCAACATATTAAATTTACATATACTGTACCATTTTGTACTTTTAGTTATGTATTAAAACAGGCAGACCATTGATTTTAACAGATTTGAAAATGATATATGGTAATTTTTTACTTTAACGATTAATGACGGATATAATAAATTATAATTGTAATTAACCAGATATTTTGATGTTTAATAGGAAATCTTTATGATTTATGGAATCAAAATTATGTCATTATAGAAAATGATGGAAATGCCAAATATTTTACAAGGATTACACTCGGAGCATGTGACAATCCTACGCTGTAAGGATTTTATATCATGTTAAATAAGTTATTTTTTTTTTTAAATGTAATTTTTTTGAAATTAATATTTTTTTATTAATTTATATTTTATTAGTTTCGTTCCTTCAAATTTTAAATGCATTCTTATTATGGACGAGATGGATTTGCCTTTAGCTGGTCCACCACTTCTAAATCGATTTGAAAAACAAAAGGTGTCGATTGATGATATACTTAATGATAGACAAATGTTGGTCGTAAAAGATTTATTTAATTGGATAAACCAAATGTTAACTTCGTTTGAATCTAATTCGGATATTCAAACACACAATAAATTTACCGAGAAAGAACTATTTATTGGATTTGACGATGACGAAACCTTACAAAGCTTAGTTATTAATATTATTAAGAATAATCCTGAAGTTAAAGATGAAGTGATTTTAGAAAAATGCAAAGAATGCTTAATTGCAATAGCATCTCCTGATGGAGTTTTAAGAGCTGAACTATCAACCATAGAACGAGATGAATTTAATAAATGGAAACAGGTTTATTTCCATCAACAATATCATGATAGTCTTTATGATTATTTTAACGCTTTGCTTAATCAAGAAAATGAAAATTCATTGGCGAATCTAAAAGAGCATTTAATAATTGTTAACACATCCTCTAAAATTAATGTAAATATTAAGTTTTGTTTGCAAGATCTTTTAGGATATCAAGCGTACAATTTATCGATATTCAGGACTGAATCTCAATTTTCAAATATGGTGAAAAATTTCTTTTTTGAATCAACGGATCAAATTTTAATTCTTCAATGTGATATTAAAACTATTAATGCTAAATATATTAAATTAGTAAAACACATTATTGAACAATATCAAAATGAATTTTGGGCCAAAAATGAACAATTCAAAACAAATAATCCCATTAAACACGTTAAATATGTGTGTTTAATATTTCATATTCAACAAGATTATGAACCAAATTCATTATTATCTAATTTCATTTGTGGCTGGAAACGAATTTTTATTGAATCTTTAGAACCGCCAGAAATACCATTAATAGATTTATTGGATAAGTCATTATATGAAGTAATTAATTCAAAACTTTTTGATAAGATAGTTAATTCGACAATGCCATTTGAAAAAATTTTACAAAATGAGTTGTTATGGTGCTTATCATGCATAGAATATCAACATTCTAATGAATGTTATGAAAATTATATCAGGTATATTAATTTTATTTGTGACATCATTTTAATTAAATAATTATTCAAGTTATTAAAATTTTTTAATGCCTTTTTTGTAGTTTATTGAGTAAAGAGATTCTAAATAATTCAAATTTCATACAATGCATAAAAACAAAAACCTTTGAATGGATCTTAACTAATTGTAAAAATTGGCAATGTGAAGTGGCTTTAAATAAGAAGAATTATTCATCAAAATTTACTTGCTTTTCATTAGCTTTACGAAATTATGTAATAATAATTATTAAGCAAACAATCTCCAAGATTTTATATTCACTTGAAAAATTTTCAGCAATTTCTACATTTTTCAATAATAAAAATGATGAATCAAAAGTGAAAAAAGAATTATCAGAATTATGGAAAATATTCTTCATGGACAATGCAATTATTAATATAGATAATTTATGTGAGCCAAAACCTTCCATGTATATAATGTCACGTTCAATTAACGATCTCGAATTTCCTTTCTCGTATTATTTTATGAATTTAATTAATTATTATGAAAAATATTACTTTGAAGAATTAGATATATTAAGACAAGATTCGGAAAACATTAATAATGAATCGTACGAGGATCATATAGAAGATTTTAAAAATAATGTGATTTCTATACATCCATATTTTGAATATTTACAAAGATATTCGGAATTCTATTATAATGATTTTATTAGAATTATTTTATCAACTTATTCTATAAAATTGATTAGTAAAGAAAATTTAGATTTTATTTTAAGAAATTTAATTGAAGTAACTGAAGATAAAATTATTGATCCATTTATTCTTCATATTTATTGGTGGAAATATTCAAATGAAATTTTGATTCAATTAAAATTGGTCGAAACTTTTCCAAATATTATAATAAAAGTTCAAAATGATTTCGTTGTTCACGGGAAACTTGCTCAAGATCTTTTTAGGGAATCAATTAATTCGATTTTACAAAATATATGTGATGATAAACCATGGAAACAAGACATGGATTATATTTTATCCATTTTATCCGTAACTGAAGAGATTGATGATGACTTGGGAAAATTTTCAAATTTAATTATATGTAATGATTTATTAAAAATAAATTCAATTCCATTAGAAAAAATCAAAGAAATTATTTATTTAGGAAAATCCGGCAAAAAACAAGAATTTATTACAGCTGAAATTATTAATTTAGTATTTAATAGTTTAAATGATAATAATAATGATATAACTCCAATTATATCATTTATTTCATTTATTACAAGAAATCTTAAATTAATCCCTTTAGAATCTGATGTTCGGTTAATTCTTTACAAAAATATATTTTCACAAAGTTCTTTCATCTTAATGAATAGTATTATTGAAAAAATATTTACTATTGAATTTCAACAGAATAAGGAAATATTTTTTATGCTAATGAAGAATCCTGAAGAATCTTTACGACAATCAATTAGATTAAAAACTATTAATGATAATATTAAAGTTATCGACTCAAATATAGCAGAACTTTGCTGTGATATAATTCAAAAGATTTTCAGTAAATTCGAATTCAATGAATTATCACCTTACTTCAAATATGCAATTGAATCATTTGTACAAGAAGATTTGCTTTCACAACAAATATTCATTTTACAACAAATTACTTCAATAGCATTTCTAAAAGAATTTATAAATCAATTTTGGAAGAAATATTTTTCATTATCTTCATCAATGATCAAAGAAATTAATGATATTATGAAAATTAATAATAATTCATTTATCCAATCTATTCGATTTTATTTTGCATTAGAATTAAATTCCTTTGATAATATAAAACATCATGAGATTATTAAGGAAGAATTTACATGGTTAGATGATTGTAAAGATATGAAAATAACTTATCTTTCTAAACTTTTTAAACCAATTAAAAGCATAAATTTTGAAGTTAGTACTAGAAACTTGGACAAAAATTCATTTCTTTCAATATTTTTTAAATATCATGAAAGTTTGAAGCTCATGAAGCATCTTTATCCAATTATCAGATTTGTGAAAATCTTAAGCTTTAAACTTGAACATCATTTAACTAAAAAAGAGGCTCAAAATATGACATTTCATGAATTTATTAAGAAAGAATCTGCAGATGATAATGAATATGCTAATTTAAAATCTTTATTTGAAGAATTTGCTTTTAGTTGGAATTATATTATTAATTATATTTTTGAATATCAATGTAAAGAATTACCTCATAACAAACTATTTATGAATCTTGATCTTCCTGTGATATTTGGATTAGTTGAACAAAAAGATAATGGAATTTATTTATGTGCAATTGTAGATTTTTTAATTAAATTACATAATGAATTTTTGGATAATATAATAGCAATTCCTATTGGAAAATGTGAATATCTTAAATTTTTAGAGGATTTATCTTTTAATAAATTAACTCCTAAAACATATTTCATCATACCAAAAAAGGTTGATCAGGCACAAGATAATAATTTCATTAATTATGATTGGGATGATAAAATTTTTAAATATAATCAAAGAAATTTGGAAATAGAGGATGATACAAATCTTATATTTGATTTACAAAAAATTGAAATGAAATTGGCTAAAAAGTTAATTCATAACAGAGTTTATTTTGAAATGGAAGATAATCAATTCTATTTAAAAAATTTTTCATTCAAGCATGAATTATTTTATTATTCTCCAAGAATTCTTTTTGAAATTAAAAACATATTACCACAGGAACCTATTCCAGAAGAGAAAAGATTAATAATTTTAGCATTGCTTGATCCATCAAAATCTTTATATAATTCATCAAATTCAATCGATTTACCTGAAGTAATCTCACTTTTTGAAACCATTCTTTGTTTTATTAAAGAATTATCAATTAAAAATAATAATATACTTATTTTAGATTTAATTGACCAATGGTTAAAGTTAATGAGGTATGATATAACATATGCAGATATACTTAAAGAATTTTCTTTAAAACATATTATATCATTTTATGAATTAATTGAAGAACAAGTTGCTAATTCAATAATCGATAAGATTGATGAAAAATTTAAAACTCCATTAACACAACAAATGAAGGATTCAATTAAAAATATCATAGATTATGATGATTCAGAAAATCAAAATCAACAACGTATTCCTGCTAAAGCATTTGCGTTTGCTTTAAAAAGATTCATTTATAGATTTTTATTAGTAGATTTTAATATTGAAAATTTAAATTTAAATACATATTTTTTGGATTTTACTTTAAATTTATGGAGTGATGTTAATGAGGAATCAGTTGAAAAATTATTTCCTACTTGTTTGTTAGTATCTCATGCTTATAATAGTTATAATTTTATTGTTGAAGAAATTGAGGTATTGTATTTTATATTAAAATATGTTTATTTATTATGTTTTAATTTATTTTTAACTTATTGACTTATTGTTATATTAATTTATTTTAATAGAAAACAATGAATGAAAGGCAAAATAGTAGAAGAGGTAAATACAAAAAACATAAAAAGTATACAAGTTGAAAGATTATTAACATAGTCTTGTTATAAATTTATTTGTAAACATTATTAAAATTCAATAAATAAAAAATTATTACATAATTTATAATATAAGGAAAAAAATACATAGTATAAAAACTATCTACTAACTCCATATCAATTATGGATGTATTAACCGAGGTTAATACTAACAACTATATAAACTATACTAATACTATACTATAATCTAACTACAATTTAATAACAGAATATTTTTTTTGAAATTTTAATATTATATGCTGTTTTTGTAAATATACTATTTTAAAATCTAAATGTTAAAAGAAAACTAAAACTATTTTAAATGTAATTACCCACTTTGATGATGAACTGTTTTAGATGGCACGCGCAGATTTGGTTTGGATGTCTCTGTTGACATCGTGCTAAAATACCGTTCATTTTATCTCCCCTCGTAAATAAGTGTTTTTATTCTAATTATGTATAACCAGTAATTTATGAAAAAAACTATCTTAAATCTTGGAAAGCCTATTGAGAACGTTATTGGTAACTCGTGCATCATTTAACACCAGCCCTTAAAAAATTTTGTTAAAGCTGCTAGAAAACCTAATGATCTCCATTGCGAAAATTGTTCTACAGCTAACTTCTTAAATTCTTTAACTTTCTTCACTACCATCATAGCCTCTTGAAATCTGGGTATCCGCCATTCGTTTTTTGTTGATGTCAATATCCATATCGCTTGTTCCCAATTCCAAGAATGGTTGTTTGCCCTAGTTGTTGTTACTACTCTCAGCCATGTTGTCAATTTTTTCGTTTATGCTGGCGGTTGGTCTATTATGCTCACTTGGTTCCTCTATATCCATACGTGCGGTTTTCCTATATATTCTATGAAATTCCCGTCTTTATCATACAGATCGTCTTGTTTATATTAAGTTTTAATAATTTTGGTATCAGAAGAGTAATGATTTACAACAAAAACTTTTTTACAATTCCCGATTCTTATTATTAATAATAATATTTTTTGGGCTGTATCAAAGCTCGATCGTTATAATTAATATTTCTGGGAATATTTTTTTTTTTTCATGACAATAGAAGTTTTTCTTTTTTTCTATAACTATAGATTGCTACAATGAATTTTTTTTAAGATAAAAAAAAAGATTTTTTTGTATCTTTGTAAATGTATAAATAAATCATAAATTTCACAGTACTGCAATATTTGTTTCGTGTTAAATAAAATTTGCATTTAATAATAATATTTCACACACTGTTGCACGCAATTCATTGTTATTTGTATAATCATATAAATTGTGTAATATATTATATTTATTTCCTACTAACACTACTAATACCATCATAATAATAGTAAAAAAATAGATCTTTTCACACTGCATGGCAAATAAAATATAAGTGTGTTTATTACTACTCTCATCCCCAGCGCAGCACGAGGCTAGTCTGTAAAATTATTTTACATTATCATTCAAATAAATTGCTGCGGTGTAAAGGTTAAAATAAATAAAAACCATACCGCTGTAATATTTATAATATACAAATCGCGTCTCATACAAACAACCAGATTTACTTTATAAATTTATAAATCTTATAAGCGGACCTTCAAAATTTTATGCATGATCCAATATATCGAAGCTTATTTTTCATCACATGATCACATGATCAAATCATGAGTCATCTCTTACAGAAAAAAAATTTTTTTTTACTATTGATTTATTTGATCATGACGCGATTTTTGATTTCAACTCGCAAACTCCGTGGGAAAAAAAATTTTTGTATTTTATATAAAATAAAAAATTTTTTTTAAAAAATATCCTTCTCTTTTTCTCATTCTTATCATTTCCAGCATAGTAACCCATAAAAAAAAAATAATGTTTTTCAAAAAAAAAAAAGGAATGAAAACTTTTTTTTTTTCACATAGTAACTCATCTTCTTCGTGATTTTCTTATTCTTTTTGGAGTTTCAAAAACTACGCAGAGGATATTTTTCAAAAAGTTACTTTTTTAAAAATTATTTTATTTTTTATTATTTTTAACTTTATTTTGTTATACCTCACTCATACGCTTTTGTACGTTATTAATCTACCTTTTTCATAGTTTTCTTATTCTTTTTGGCATTTCAAACACTACGCGGAGGATATTTAAAAATAATTTTATTTTTTATTTATTTTGTTTATATATAAGAAACCTCACTGCGGTAGTAACCTATCTTCTTCGTAGTTTTCTTATTCTTTTTGACGTTTCAAACACTTATCTCCTTTTAGGCCTTTTTCTTTACGTCTCTCTTTTGGTATGTGAGTAGTGTGGGTGGGTGTGGGAGTGCGGGTTGGGAGTGTGGGTTGGGAGTGGGTTTGTGTATGTGGTGTTTCATTTTATTTTTTTTTTCGTCATTCTTTTTTTAGGTTTATTTTCTCTCTGTCTAGGTCTTCTCTTTATTAGATCTTCTTTAAGGCCCTTTTTCTTTGGGTCTCTCTTTAGGTATGTGGGTAGTGTGGGTTGGGAGTGCGGGTGGGAGTGGGAGTGTTGGTGTGGTCTCTTATACACATCTAGATGTGTATAAGAGACAGAGGCAAAATAGTAGAAGAGGTAAATACAAAAAACATAAAAAGTATACAAGTTGAAAGATTATTAACATAGTCTTGTTATAAATTTATTTGTAAACATTATTAAAATTCAATAAATAAAAAATTATTACATAATTTATAATATAAGGAAAAAAATACATAGTATAAAAACTATCTACTAACTCCATATCAATTATGGATGTATTAACCGAGNATCTTATATCTGTCTCTTATACACATCTAGATGTGTATAAGAGACAGGGTTGGGAGTGCGGGTGGGTGTGGGAATGTGGGTTGGGAATGGGAGTGCGAGTTGGGAGTGTGTGGGTGGGTGTGGGAGTGTGGGTTGGGAGTGTGGGTTGGGAGTGGGTTTGTGTATGTGGTTTTTCATTTTATTTTTTTTCGTCATATTTTTTTTTAGGTTCATCTTCTCTCTGTCTAGGTCTTCTCTTTATTAGATCTTCTTTAAGGCCCTTTTTCTTTAGGTCTCTCTTTAGGTATGTTGGTAGTGTGGGTTGGGAGTGCGGGTGGGTGTGGGAATGTGGGTTGGGAACGGGAGTGCGGGTTGGGAGTGTGGGAGTGCGGGTTGGGTGTGTGGGTTGGTAGTGTGGGTTGGGAGTGTGGGTGTGGGTTGGGAGTGCGGGTGGGTGTGAGAGTGTGGGTTGGGAGTGTGGGTTGTGTATGTGGTGTTTCATTTTATTTTTTTTTCGTCATCTTTTTTTTAGGTTTGTCTTCTCTCTGTTTAGGTCTTCTAGGTCTTTTTCTTTTAGGCCCTTTCTTTACATCTTCCTTTCATACAAATTCTGTATTGCTCGGTACCTTATATTACTGATCCACAAGATAGCATAAATCGATTTATAATATTTTTTTCTTTCTTGAACATAAAATCTGACAGTATTTTTTAGTTTATAAGCACATATAATTAATTTCACTATTTTATCGTTTTTTTTTTTTGCTTTACCGACATAAAAATTTAATGTTTAAATATTTGATTTTATGAATTTTGAAAAATAGCAATATGTTTTAATAGAACGTCAAATTTTGTAATTACTATTTATTAATTAATACTTATAAAAAATTTGAATGAATAAGTTTTTGGATGAAATTGGGACTTTGAAAATCTTTTGAAAAAATGTTTTCACTAAAAAAACAATCAATCATTATAATGGCAGGACTATGATAAGGATCCTCAAAAAAGTCATTGAAATTGCCAGAGGAAAGTATGTTAAGTGGGTGGTTAGTATCTGATTGGCGGTCTCTAAACCTTATTTGTTTTCTTGGTATCGTAGACTATTTATGAATTTCCTTTTGCTAATTAATCGTTACAGTGTCCCGTGTTGCTCATAATGAAAATTTGGGTTATTGTACATGTCATCATTACATCATTGGTGCTCTTTAATTTTACAGGTATTCCAAGTCGAATTCAGGTCAATATGATTGATAAGTCAATAATTTTATTATATTTTTAATTTTATCTATTGTACATTAATAAAATTGCTAGTTCTATATAATAAAAAATTGGAGTTACTAACATCTGATCCGAATTCTTTATAGTTAAGACCCGCTTTGTTTTAACATTTATGTAATTTGCTCTTTTCGTGATTACTTAACTATTTTTTTTTCAGTTAGTAACGCGTTTATTTATTTAAGACCCGCTTGATCGGCAAGTCATGTTGTACATCTAATCCAATTCCGGTTAAGAAATTTTAATCAGATTTTTTTTTCGGTTTCACTTCTTTTAATTTTAATTTTTTTTCTTGAACCGATCTTTTACAAATGGTTCTCATTCTTTCACCATTTAGTTTGGATCGGTGATCAAATCGATGTTGTGGCGCCACAGCAATTGCCTTTTTTCCTGATTCTTATTATTAATAATGATATTTTTTTGTATCAAGCTCAATATAATAGACTAACATAATTACTTATTTATTAATTTTTTGTAACAATAGATCGTTATAATTAATTTTTTCTGGGGAATTTTTTTATTCAATGACAATAGGTCGTTATAATTAATTTTCTGAGAATTTTTTTTTCATATTAATTAGTGAGATATTTTTTTTTCTAGAGGATGTAATTTTTTTTAATGCCATAATGGAATTTTTTAAGATAAAAAAAAGATTTTTTTATAACAATGTACCAATAAACTACTTATACAAAGTTGAATTTGTAAATTTCACAGTACTGCAACATTTGTTTCGTGTGATAAATAAAATTTGCATTTAATAATAATACTTTATATACTGTATAACATTTGCACACAATTCATTGTTTTTTGTATAATCATATAAATTGTATAATTTATTACATTTATTTCCTACTAATGCCATCATAATAATAATAAAAACTAGACCTATCCATACTACATTGAAAATAAAATATAAGTGTAGTAATTATTACTCTCTTACTTGATGAGCAAGTATCATCCCCGGCGCAACGCGACGGGTTATGCTTAGTTTTA